AAATTTTGAAGTGGAAATATTCTACAGCATTTATGTGAGAGGAGGAGAAAAATTTAACCAACCTGCAGCGCTGACAGATGTCTTCATCATTTGACTTGTTTTCGAAGCGATAGGTGGCCCTATAGGTTAACATTTAGAGCAAATCTTTTCTATTTTTCATAAAATAAGAAGACCTGGTAAAGCACAGTATCCTGGCAATACTCGAGTGGCAACAGCATTTCCGAAGCGCAATTGCACTAGCTGTCTAAAATAGAGAAAATTTCAAAAGGTTGAGAAGGATGCTACTTAATGCACTTCTAAATCTTACAAGGGAGGATACTGAATGACCGTAGCCATTCACGACGAATTTACTACAAGAACTATCTCGAAGCAAAATTCTCAAATCTGTCCTTCCTATCTGCTAAGCGATTTTACGAATAAAGTGAAGAAAAAACCAGCGATTTCCGAAGCTTTCTATCAAAAATTTGGATGGCCCGTGCTTCAAGAGGATGTGTTGTACTGGTATTATGCAGATTCGCATCTCATGCAGTAGTAGACTTACCTGCCTCGCCTGTGACAGTACGTTTGCATTTCTAAAATGCTCACTCGAGCACATATTATATTTGCATCGCCTATTCTTCCATCCAAACTGGATTTTAAAGAATGTCAAGAAAGGAGAAGACCTATTTGGCTTTACCTCAATTTTATCATTCAGGTCCCGTTCAGGAGGTTCATATCTTATATTCTACCGCCCAATTCTCTTGTACACAACCCAGAAGTGCTTAAAATACTTTCTCTCCTTCAGTTCTAATCTTGCACATCACGCTTTCTTTTCCGCCCCGGATAAGCAGCTGTATATCTGGACGAAAATCCCGGTCGTCCCCTTCATACCGCTTCACATCCAAGCTGCAAAACCACTGCGATTTTGTTGGTTGCAGCAAAATATTGTCATCGACTCATGTTCTCACTACGATAATCTTCTGCGCTTGAGTAAGGTTGGAAGAAAGCCGTACTAATAAGTTATAATTCTCAAGCCTTTCAAAAATTAATATATAATCAAGTAGCAAATAGTATAGTCTTGATGTGAACAGGTTTTTTAATTGAAAAGGAGCATGAAAAAAAGACACCAAGTTTGTCCCCGGACCTGCATGATTTCATTAACAGATTATACACCACTGCGCAGGTCTTGCACAAGTTGTTATTGGAGTCCTTACTAATTTAAGACCTTTAATTTCGCCGGTTTGAGATTTAGACTACTCTTCTGGTATATATCCCATCTTGAATACGGGCGAGTATCCCTCCCTTGTTAGCGCTTTGGGATCGTCACTACACGATAGTAGATATAAAATTCGCCTCAAACTTCGTATGGGTCCTTTTGCTTATCATAAAATCGCACATTTTAGCCATCCAACTGTGGAGTAAGCGGCACTTCAAAAAAAATTTTGGAGATAAAAGTAGATGATGCATCAGTGAGCACATTTTTTGGGACACTGTAGTTTTGTCAGTCTCTAAAAATGAATGAACAAAGTTAAAAGAGCAATTCCTTGTAACGCAAGCTTCTGCAAAAACCTATTTTAATGGAAGCATCATTGAGCACCTTGGCATAATAAAAAAGAGAAGCGACAGCGATTGTATTGCGACTGTTATTTTCGGGGTTGTTTCACATCAAATGCTTCAAATCGGTTTAGGCACGATCTGACCATTTTAGAAAAGATTCTGATTTATCTATAGATAGTTGTTGATGATGTCATAATTAATAAGATAGACTCTCAACATTTGCACTTGTTAATAACAAAATATGAAAATTTTGAAAGTGGTTTCGGAGGAAAACGTGGATGACGGGAGAAAACTTTACTCACATAAACGGCCCGTTAGTACAGTCTGAGAGATCGTCGAACTCATAAGCGTAGGTAGAGTCTCCAGCTCGTTTGTAGCCTTGTACAGTGACAGATAGCTCGTTACCTGTGCGCGAATCAAATGGTCTAATTTCCACATTGTCAAAGCCGGAGAAACCCAGAGGGAGAGCAGTTGCTAGTTGGGGGATATCTGCAGAACTTTCTTCTTGAGTTGATGGTTACGCCTGTAATGGTGGAACTCACTTTTGTACATAACAGGCGAACCAATGTCCATTTGGCGATTATTTGTGTAGCTAAGCAGCACCGCATTGTTTGAATTTACGAAAACTCGAATGGAGCAAATTAGGCCTGGTGTTGGTGAGACAACCCGAATACTGTCCATTGCATTAGGGTAGATCTCGTATAACTAGAATGAAATTCAAAAATCTTGTAATTTCTCATTCTTATGTAAAATAAGGTACCGCGTAATATTTTCCTCTCGAAACGAGCTGAAGTTGATCAAAGCTCATATCGGTCACATACGGCCAATCAAACTGCGCCGGGTTATCTGATAAAAACCATCAAATTTCTACAAGAAATCGTTAAGATGCAATGTAGACTTACTATCATTCTTGTCGACAGTCAAAAGAACTCTATATTTCTTATTAGAATTGTACTCAGTTGGAACGTCAAGTTTTATGCCGTTGCAGTCAAATCCGTAACGTACCGCGAGATTTTCCATTTTATGATAGGTTTTTAGCACATTCTTCATAACCTGCATGCAACTTTTGAAGTAAGTCTTCGAAATTCTCGAAAGAGAAACTTACATCTGGTACATCATCTTTGTCAATCACGAAGAGATCGCCATGAGTTGCTACAGCAAGCCGTCTGTAGACATCAAAGTTGTTACCAGATGTGGCGATGGGTTTAGCTGATGTTTGTGACAGAATGAAAGTGAGCTAAAAAAAGCTGATATTCCTCTTGCCCTGCTATGCAAAACAAAAACGAAACAGTTTCTCATAAATAGCGAACTACAGTAAATTTCAAAAGGATAAAAACTCGTTTACTCCTATATTCTATTGCATCA